AGGGAATTGCTGAGTATACACAGTCACAGGCAAGGAGGATAAAGAATTAGATCAAAAGTGATTCAGGAAAGGCAGATCTCGTGAGAAGTTCAGAGCAAGTAAATGAGAGCAAGGCCTGCATTCAGGAATGAGCAGTGTGTTTTGCAGAGAATCGGAGGCAGCCCCAAACTCCAGGAAGTGTTGGCCAGCAATCACCCAAATGTGGCTTGTTAAACAAAAGAGCTACTGAAGAATTTTTTATGGAGAACCGCCAAGTAGAGCGCAGACTTTTGCTAAGTAGTGAGTGTTTGGCATGTTCCCAGAGCCAAAGAGGGAAGCATCGAGAAAGGCATTTGTGGCAGTGTACACTTAATACCCAAGGGTGGCTCCTCAGACAGTGCCCTGATATTCCTAATCAAAGCTTGGATCCAGAGGGGCAGAGGGCATTTCTGCTCATGTACACGCAGGTTCCTAATATTTGCTGTTTGCTCTTTTCCCTGCTGCCCTTTTTCTATGCCCTTGTCATAGCCTACAAACATCTTTGGGTCTTCTAACCTTCAAGACAGCTTTCTTGCCTCTTAGATCAGGGGTACCTCCACCACTGCTGGAAAGCTGCTTATGCCAGATAGAAAAGAGGTATTTGTCAATGCCCATGTAGTAGTTCCTATTGGCTGACTATTCCCCACCCCCCCAAAAAAAGATGGTACTGGAAATTACTTTTTTCATTAATGCCACACTCCTCAGTGGGGACCCAAAGCAGCTTACATCATTTTCATCTCCTCTATTTTATCCTCACAACAACACTTAGATAGATTAAGCCATGAATGTGTGAAGGGGTCATGGCTCAGTGGGACAGCATCTGCTTAGCATGCAGAAGGTCCCAGGTTCAATCCCTGGCGCCTCCAGCTTAAAGGATGAGGTCGTAGGTGAGCCTACCCACCTCCACCTGAGACCCCGAAGAGTCACTGCTAGTCTGCAAAGACAATACTGAACTTGATGGACCAATGGTCTGATTCAAGTATAAGTCAGCCTCTTGTATTCAGTGAGCTTCAATGGGGATTCAAACCTGGGTCTTCTGAATCCTCTAACCACTGTGCCACATTGACTCTCTACTAGCATCAGGCAACAGAACAGGTCCAAGAGAACAGCCAAAAAATACAAGTTTTGGTAACTTCCTTTCCATCTGCAAGCTGATGTCTTTCATTATGCCATGTTGACATAATTAAAAGGGAATTAAAAGGAAGCCTCCTCTGGCTCTGTGTTCTGAGGAGCCTGGTATATTGACATGATAACTGTGGGGAAAGGAGCCAAATTTAAAATATAAATAAGCATTTTTTCCTAACCCTCCACTAAATGGCAGCACCAAAGTCCCCTCCCCAGCAGCTGTTGCTTCAAAAATGCTTTCACTATAACGTTAAAATATCCCCATCACTATGATATCTAGGCTCCATGTTAGTTATTTTGGAGTTGTCAAGAGGAGAGGTTCTTCACGAAAGGTAATTTTAAGTGTGATTTTGATTATCAGGGTGGAGGGGGGACTCTTAATTTCTTAAACTGACCAAAATTGGTATAACCGTAGGTGGATAAAAGTGCTCCAAATTATTTTTCAGTGTGTTGTTAAACTAGAATCCCAAATTATTGATGCCCTTAAATTAAAATGGAAAAGACAAAATTCTGGTAGACCGCATTTCTAAACCAACTTGGATGGTTTATGGAGTTTTGTTAGTTTTTCGTATAGCCTAGTTTGACTGACAGTACTCTTCCTTCCTTCCTCCAGCTGGACTAGATATTGGACCCATCTCTGAAGATCCCTCCTCTTTGCCTCCACAATGTGTCAGTCAGACTTCAAGACCGTTGAGTGAAGAACAACTAGATGGAATCCTCAGCCCTGAACTGGACAAGATGGTCACAGATGGTAAATCACCTCTTTCGTTTAAAATAACTACTATTTTACGGGATTGCCTTCTGCATGCATTTTTAGATGGGCTTGTTCTGGCAACTATTGAAATGAAATTGTTTTCATCTGTTATATGCACAATGAACTTGGGTAGCTAATGTTTATGTTGCTTTTACTCTATCCAGGTGCAATTCTTGGTAAACTGTACAAGATACCAGGTATGTTTTCTTGCTTTTGTTTTTATATATCCGTGCTGCCTTTCTGTTGAGCGGATATTCACAGAGACTTCCACTAAGCAATAAAAACATAACAAAAATTAGATCAATATTACAATATGATTTTTTTTTAAATGCACAACCATAAAACATATAACAACCATAACACAGATTAAAACATAACCAGGGGGGTGGGCGGGTTGGAATTCAGCTACACAACACAAGAAAAAAACAAGACAGACTTGCCTGGCACCTATAAGACGGCCATGCTAGGTGAACATCTCTTGAGAAGGAAGTCTGCAAATGGGGCCTACCACAGAAACGGCCCTTTGTCTGGTATCTTGGCTCTTATGAACTTTGCAATGTGCAGCCGTATCCATGTACTCACAAGCAGTGTTTTACAGAGCTGGAAGGAAAGGATGTTGAAGAACTGTTCACTGCTGTACTGAGTCCTGCAACCACCCAATCAGCTCCTTTGCCACAGGCCCCACCTCCACCACAGCTGGTACATTTGCACAATCAAGGTTCGTTCTTAATTTTTCTTTTTTGGCTTTCCTTCAAAAACAGGATGGCAGTTGACAGATTGCCCCATCTTGTAAAAAGCAAGAGTAAATAGTACTTTTCAATTATAAAAATAAAACTTTTCCATCCCAGTGTGTCTCTTCTGTGACACTGCCCAGATGCATGTTATGTTGTCTTTTGGGAAAAGAGGCAGGTTAGAATGTCTCTGTTTGCTCAGCAGATGTAGAGAGACTGGCATGTTCACAGTGAGTTGTCTAGAAAGTGAGTGGCTAATATGCTTTGATGGCAGAATGAGCCTTTGGCCCTCTTGCTTTTGTTTGCTTAGCTGCTCAGATGTCACAGAGATTATGGCGAACCTAGCACTAGGCTGCTAAATGTAAAGGGGTCTGGGGAGACCTCTGAACTTGAATTCTTATGAACGGTTAACAAGCTATAAAACTATTCCCATGAAGCATTATGGGTTTTCAAATAACATTTTGCTGGGCAAATTGGTTGAGGTTTTAGAACCTTTTAATGAACATGGAAGGTGATATTACTTTACATATGCATGGCATTTTAAATCAAATGCTTAGTCACTATATGATGGCTTCCCCCCAGGCTGATTTTGGGTGGCGTGAGGTTTAGATGATGTAAGCAATAGCCACGTACACTATACATGCTTTCTCATAATAAATTATTAAATGAAAAGAAGGACTTTGAGAAATAATATCATCATTGCTAGGGGGATTGTTCCAGAATAGTATATCTCCCTAGTACAATTTTAATTTTTAAAGCTCAACTTGAAGAGTATTCTGTGGTACCTTTTAAGTCTGATGTCTCTCAAGTGGCCTATTGAGGTCAGGAAGAAATTTTTTTCCCCTTTAGATTTTGGGTTTTCCCCATCCCATTGAGGTTTCAGAGATGGCCACATCTAGAGACAGGATATCAGATGGGGAGAACAAGAGGTAAAGTGCTAAGAAAACTTTCTCTTGAGGGAAGCTCAACAGATAAGTTTTGCTTTCATGCTCTAGGTCTGATTTCACCACATTTGAAGGTTGGGCAAGAATTTTTGCCGTGACGGAACTGTTTGAAACATTGGGGGGTTTTGTATCTTCCACTGTCATATTCCACATCGCTTGCTTGTGCCATCTGGATGTGTTCTGTTAAACCTTCTCCTGGATTATATGTTCCTATTTGTCAGATGTGGAGGATCTTGCTTTAGTGCAGGGAACTGGGCTTTATGGCTTGGTGCTTGCTTCTGGCTGTACAGTCTTGTAATAGCAGTCTGAGGAAGGCTTCAGAAATTATAGGCCCCTGTTGTACTCATCAGCTCATCCAATATCTTGGCAGCCTTCAGTTATGAGTTACGGAAAAGGGAGATCTGAGACTGTAAAGGGACCGTCTCTCTAACAGTTTGGAGACGTGCAGGTAGTTGAACCATGGAATCTATCCATTGATTTAGAAGATATGGATTCATTTTTCACAGATCTACATTCCATTGTTTTATTATTATTATTTGATCAAAATAGCTCTTGTGTGTCTCTTTCTGAAACTACGTGGCTTACCTTATTGAATGCCAAACAGCATAATATGAGGCACAAAGTTATTTAGGGTTAAGAGGAATCTAGAATGCATGCTCCTTACATGCTCTTTAAAACAGAATTAAAATTATACATGATTATTAACCTGTGGTGTCCAAATAAGGTTGCTGCAAGTGGTTTTAATCTAATACCGCAAAATAGAAAACCAAAGATTATATAAAATGTGGAAAATGCCAAAGTACTATACAAATTATGATAATTATAATTATCATCAATTCAAATTACTTTTCCTGCTATAGCGTATGGATAAAATTAGTAATTGGCACTCAGATTTTCACCTTTTCTTTAAAGGAGAGAATGTGTTTTCAAGAGTTCCGCTTATTAATGGTTTGATTGGACCAGCCCCTCATCTCTCTCATACCCCATTGGTTCCTGGAGGCGGATTAGGCACTTTTCCTACCATAGCACAACCATCATATACAGATACCAGGTGAGTAAAACCAAGAAATATACTTTTTACCCAAAAAAAATCTGTAGTGATGTTAATTATATGCAGCATGTTGTTAGTGAGATCTCTGTTTTTTTCCATTAGCCTTTGAAACAATTTAAATGCAAATAAATCTGTTTCCCCTTTTTCAGGGATAAGAACGCAACGTTTAATGCAGTGATGAATGATACCACCAGTTCTTGGGTCCCATCTGCTGCCCCACTGGAAGGTGAGGGTGACACCATGTCTAATGCACAGAGGAGCACTCTGAAATGGGAGAAAGAGGAAGCACTTGGTGAAATGGCAACAGTGGCACCTGTTTTATATACAAATATCAATTTTCCGAACCTTAAAGAAGAGTTCCCAGGTATGTCGTAAATTACAGAGTTAAGCATAATTTTACAAAGAGCCAGTGTGGCATAGTGGTCAGAGTGTTGGACTAGGATCTGGGAGACCTAGATTCTAACCTTCACTTTGCCGTGGAAGCTTGCTGGGTGTCCTTGAGTCAGTCATACCCTCTCAGCCTAATTGATCTCACAGGGTTGTTAGGAGGATAAAATGGAGGAAAGAAGAATGTTGTATGCCATTTTGGGTCCTCACTGGGGAGGGTGTAGAGTTGCCATACCCCCCCAGTGGAGGCAGGGGTCCCCTGCCACCAGCCCCCCAGCCATCAATCAGCTGGCTGGCAGGGGGACTTACCAGTAGAAAGAAGAAGGCCTAGACCACACCGCTGGTGTTGCACAAGAAAGGACATCATCATACCAGTGACTTCCATAGAGTTTTTGCCCAAATACCAGAGCATTGCCTGGAAATCACTGTCATGATGACATCACATTCCCTGCAATGCTGGCAATGTTGCCTAGGTTGCCTTCTTTCTACTGGTAAGTCCCCCCCATCCCCCACTGGTTGCTAGGAGGGACCTGGCTACCCTGGGAGGGTACAATATAAATGAAACAAATCTGTCAGGTGCTATCTTTACTGCATAGAATTCAGATTTTTTTTTAACTCTGAAGGATTTCATAAAGAGCAGAGATTGTTTAGCTGTACTTTAATGAGATGCCTAATCACTTCAAAATAACACATTCCCTTTTCTCCCTGCAATCTCTTAGACTGGTCAACTAGAGTGAAGCAGATTGCTAAACTGTGGAGAAAAGCAAGCTCACAGGAAAGAGCGCCATATGTGGTAAAGAACACTTGCAACTTTTTTTAAATAGAGAAAATCTGTTTCCTATGTGGCTTCTATTAAGTTGTCTTCAATTAATTTAAGTTTTAAAGCTGCTAAAGAAAGCACATTGGTTATACATGGTGTGTTTTAAAAACACGGATTCTGACTACTTCTTGGAGATCTTTTCATGTTTGATTCCTTAAGTTGCTTGCTACTCAAGCCATTCAAGCTTGGTAGAGACCAGGTACACATACTTCCTTGTGACTTGTGTTTTGCATCTGCAGAAGCTGAGCTTGCAATAACCCTTGAAAAGCATTGAGGATGGTGTGATTCTCTGGAGATCAAGATTATCCACCAGAAATAAGTGCTTGTAGCTGCTTTTAAATAATTAAAAGCCCCATTACTGCTTATAGTGATTAACTGAAACAGTGTCCATATTCTTAGATTTACATTTATTCTTTCCAATTCTTACCCTGCTCAGCTTGATTTGGAATTTGGCCCAAATTTTCTTCAGCTGCTGTATGAGCATGTTCTGTTCTCTCTTTGTACAAAATCACAGGAATTCTAGTGTATATTTCACTGCTTTTTTGCTAATGCTTTTGTCCTCCATGTGAATTGCATTAAATGCATCCACCCTAAATTACATCTTTATGGAGATTAGTAATTTCAGGTACCCACTACTGACCTAGCGTCATTTCATATGTGCAATTACATCCCATAAGTTATTTGGTATTTTTTGCATTTGTCTGCTAAAAACTAGAAAAATAGCATGTATGTCCCTCTCCTACTTTACAGCAAAAGGCCAGAGATAATCGAGCTGCTCTGCGAATCAACAAAGTGCAGATGTCAAATGATTCCATGAAAAGGCAGCAGCAACAGGATAGCATTGATCCAAGCTCTCGTATCGACTCTGAACTCTTTAAGGACCCATTAAAGCAGAGGGAATCAGAGCATGAGCAAGAGTGGAAGTTTAGACAGGTGTGTTGCATTTGGTTTTCCTGCCCCTCCTTGTCTGTCGGCATCTCATTTGTCTACTATAGCTGCAGAAAAAGCTGCTCTTTGTTTGGCTGCCAGGAAAGGCAGTAGCCGTTCATAATATGCGCTGTATGTGCTGTGAGTGTAACAACTGCAGGCAACATAAGGAGGTAATAGACTACATGTCCTCTTAATCTTTTAACTCTTGTTGAGAATTCTGACTTTCATGAAATAAAAATACTGGAGTTTAATTTGGGAAAGGAGCTAACATTTGCAGCCGTGAACCCCCAAACCACAAATGCCTGAAAAACTCAAAGGCAGTCCAGTCTTTGTCCTTTCAATGAAACATCCACTTGTGCAGAAGCTGGTATTTCAGTCACAGGCACTTGTAATAGCTATCAATACTAGTAGCCATTACAGGCATATGGAAACTATTATACTGGTAGAGCCTCATTAACTGGATACTGAGTGAACTACCTCTGTGGTTTTTGTACTAATTTCATGATATTTAAATTTTTGTACTAATTATTGTACTAATTTCATGATATTTGAATAAAAAAAAATTTTTTGTGGGTTGCTTGCTCTGTAAACTTATATACCCTGGATAGTCTTGCAGGTAGTCTGAAACTCAAAACAGTAACTTATAATATCTAAAGCTTCTTATCCAGGTAATAATTGCACTCTGGATGAATTTCCAGGATGACTGCATAGTTGTTATTAGAGTCTGCCATGCTTATTTACATTTTAAATATATTCTCTGATCTTCAGAAGACATACTTTTTAGGGATGGGCACAAACTGGTTCACAAGCCAAAATTCGGCACAAACGTGACCCAATTTTGAGTCCCTGAACCAGTTTGGAACTCCTAAGTTTTGTCCAGTTAGGTTCGTCTGTCTGGGCCATTTAAACCTAACAGCTCAGCAGCACAAGTCCTCAGCCAACCTGTTAGGTTTAAATGGTTGGTTTCGCTTCCCCCTGCTTCCAATGGGGATGAAGCTAAATGGACTGGTGAAATGGCTGCGAGCCATTTCAGCCTAACAGCGGATGAGTGCACCCGCCCCACTTTTAGGCTGAAATGGCTGCGAGCCATTTAACCCATCAATTTCACTTCCTCTCGCTTCAAAGTGGGGGGGGGAGTGAAACAGACTGGTGAAATGGCTCACAGCCCAACAGCAGACGGGCCCACCCCACGGCCAGGAGACTGCCCTGAACAGGTTTGGAGACTGCCCTGAACTGGAATTTTTAGGTTGGTGCCCATCCCTAGTTCTTTTGTCATTATTCATCTAAATAATATAGATTTTATAAATTACTGGCCTTTGCACTGAGCAATGACAGGTTTTTTTAAAAAGCATCGTTAAACTTACTTTTTAATTTCTTGCTTTTGTTTTAATTTTCCCATAGCTGTAATACAACCTTTTCGTTTTCTTCTCTAAAACAGCAAATGCGTCAGAAAAGTAAACAGCAAGCTAAAATTGAAGCCACTCAGAAACTTGAGCAAGTAAAAAATGAGCAGCAGCAACTGCAACAGCAGCTTGGGTCGCAACAGCTCTTGAACCCGTCAGGTTCAGACACACCAAGCAGTGGGATGCAGAGTCCCTTAACCCCTCAGACTGGCAATGGAAGTATGTCTCCTGCACAACAGACATTCCACAAAGACTTATTTACAAAACAGTTGCCTGGTACCCCTACTTCCACCCCTTCTGACGTATTCCTAAAACCACAGCCCCCTCCTCCGCCTGCGACACCAAATAGAATGCCTGTTCAAGACGCACATTCTCAGGCTCCTTCACAACCGATTTTCCCCCCTAGCTCCTCTAACACTAGACCGCCTTCTCCAGTCGACCCATATGCAAAAATGGTGGGAACGCCCAGGCCACCACCTGTTAACCAAAATCAAAACTTTGTCAGGAGAAATTCTGTTACATCAGCAGATGTCCGTCCACCCCCATCACCCATATCCAGGCCAGCTCAGGTATCTGAATCAACAGGAAGCCGGCCATCACCAGTCAGAGATTTGTCTTTGTCTCCCGTCAGCAGTGACCCTTATTCAAAACCTCCAGATACACCCAGGCCTATAGCGGCAACAGAACCATTCTCAAAACCTTTGGGGCTACCAAGATCACCTTTAATTGCAGAACAACCAGGGAAACCTTTAACAGCAGCAAACAACGATCCGTTCATGAAGCCATCTCCTAGAACAGATGCATTTCAAAGGCCTCGAATGTCTCCTGCCGATTCGTATGTACGGCTACCGTTGACCCCAACTTCTGTTGTCGAGGGAAGTCCTGGTACATTTAAAACGCCAATGCGCCCTCCTCAATCCCCACAAGATCCTTATGCCTCGATGCCCTCCACCCCAAGACGTATGAGTGTGGATCCCTATGAACGGCCTGTATTGACACCAAGGCCTGTGGATAGCTTTTCGCATAATTCATCTAATGACTTATACAGTCAGCCCCCTCTGACTCCCCACACAGCAATAAAAGACACCTTTGCCCATCCTCAAAGAGTAGTGCGAAACCAGAGTGATTCTTTTTCTCAGTCTGGAACTATTTTAAGGGGAGGTGCTCAGGACCCTTATTCCCAGCCTCCAGGTACTCCACGCCCAGTATCAGATCCTTACGCCCATCCTCCGGGTACTCCGCGCCCAGTCTCGATCCCTTATGCCCAGCCTCCGGGAACTCCGCATCCAGTGTCGGACCCTTACACCCAGCCTCCAGGTACTCCACGCCCAGTGTCGGACCCTTACGCCCAGCCTCCGGGTACTCCGCGCCCAGTCTCGGACCCTTACACCCAGCCTCCGGGTACTCCGCGACCCTCTACTGTTGATCCATATATGCATCAACCACCCACCCCAAGACCTGCACAGGCAGCAGACTTATTTGCTCAGGTTCCAGCTAATCAAAGGCATTCTGACCCATATGTCAAGCCTCCAGGTACACCAAGACCAGTTAGTAATGATCCGTATTCTCAGCCACCAGCAACCCCAAGGCCTGGAATATCAGAAACTTACAGTAGACCAGCTGCGATGCCCAATCGAGATTCTTATCTACAGAATAGGACTTTACCTGGGACTTTCGTAAGGCCATCTGATCCATGTACTCAGCCTCCAAGAACATTGGGATCTGCTGCAGCAGATTCTTTTAGCCATGTTCCAACAGCCCCATCGTGTGACCCTTATGATCAGCCTCCAGTGACTCCAAGACCTCAGCCAGAAACCTTTGGAACTGCTCAGCTTCCCCATGATGCTGTAGATCAACCAAGATCTGGATCTGAGGGGAACTTCAGTGCATCTGCAAACTCTTCCATGAGCTCACAGGGGCAACAGTTTCCCCAGACCTCTCAAGTTTCTGGCCCAGCACCAACAACAGGAGCAACAAATACACAGAGCACAATGTCTCAGGTAGATGAAGAGAAATTAAGACAGGTGTGTTGGATAATCTGTTACTGAAAACTATGAGATGCAGTAGCTAAAAGGATCTGTCAGTTGCTTCTAGAAATGTTGCAGTTCTGCTTCCTCAGTAAATAATTTCTGTTCTGTTGTATGTGAAACACACTGCTAAATTTTCCTCTACAGTAGTAGACATGCTATCCTATTACTACTACCTTACTTATTTATATGCTGCTTTTCTGCTTGACCACAGGCCTTCAAGGTGGCTTACAATAAGAAAAGACTGAGTTACAACAAACATAGAAATGTTTTTTAAGGCATTGATGACTGTTATGAAGACACAGGGCAGGGTGAAAATGTAAAATGTCCTCTGCCCAATCCTCTGTAATGACAATAGGTCCTGCCCCAAAGTGTGCTATTCAGTCGCCAGGACCAGGGAGTACCAGATGTCCTTGACCTGAGGGGAGCAAGGCTAACTTCATCCAGGTGGATGGAGAATCTGTGGTTCCTGCATTAATGAATGATGAGGGAGCTTGGGGATATAAGGATGTGAACTGTCTCCCCGGCATCATGTCATTTGCTGCAAGTATTACATGGAATTTCTTTGAGATCCACTGCATATGTAACTGTGAGCTGGTTAAGAGACCGAGGGAAAGGCATGGGATCATACACTTCATACCCTATTCCTTCATCTCTCCTAATCACATCTCCCCAGTCACAGTTAAGGTACACTTCAGTACCTATAGCACCATGTTTAAGAATAGCCATGTTCATAACCAGAATTCTTTTTTGTTTTTTTTGTTGGGAAGTTTTCTTCCTTTTTCTTTTTAATTAAACTTTTATTAATTTTTTCCAAAGCATAACAGAGCATAGTATTCTTGGAGATTTTTCCGTAAATTCAGACCAATTCAGAACAAAAGACAAAACATAACATACACAAACCTTGTTTTAACAATCTATAAATGTTCCAAGTAGGAAAGGATACTAAAACTGTGAGCATTGTTACCTTATGAGTCATATACGAGGTATAATCAGCTATCAGAATAATCTTAGCATCAAAAATCACACACATCTTCACGACTAGTCAATGCAGAATAGAAAGTAGACAAGAGGAGACCCGCAACAAAATGTTGCGTAATGTGTTGTCGTTTGTTGTGCACAGTGTAGACCTGGGCTCTGGAGAACAGGTCTACCCACCCCTTCCCACTACATTGGTAGACCTGGCCTCTGGAGAACAGGTCTACCCACCCCTTTCGATTACATTGGTAGGCCTGGCCTCTGGAGATCAGGTCTACCCACCCCTTCCCACTACATTGGTAGACCTGGCTTCCAGAGATCAGGTCTACCCACCCCTTCCCACTACATTGGTAGACCTGGCCTCTGGGGGGATTTAAGTATCCCCCCCAATAGTTTCCAGTTTTTTGTGCAGACGTGGGGACCTCCCCACGTGCGCACAAACATCTTCCTCCCCCCCAGGGGCCCCCGATGCGCGGATTTAAGTATCCGCACAGACGGGGCCACTTCGGTATTAGATATATAAATTAGAGAAAGATCAGTTTGAGATAGGCAGGATTACTAGGTTGGAGGTCATCGTTTACTATAAATTCTAAGAATGGAAGCCATTTCTCCTTGAGGTTGGAGATTTTGGGGAAGAGATCTGATTGTTGTAGGCGATCTGTAGTCTTGTCCATAATGAGATGGTTCCAGACTTTATTTAACTAGCTTGATTGCATGGGAGCTAGGTTTGACTTTCATGTAGATGCAATAGATGTTTTGGCAGCTACTAAAAGATTGGAAATCAATTCATGTCTGATTTTTGGAATCTTGGATGGGCCCCAGAGGTCAAGACAGATCAATGCTGGATCTAGAGGAATTTCATATCCCGTGATTATATGTATTTGGTTTATTACATCGCACCAGAATTTCTCTGTGTGAGTGCACTGCCACCAGCAGTGAGCAAAGGTTCCGATTTCGCCACACTGTTTCCAGTACAGTGGGGAGTGGGAAGAGGACATCTTGGACTGTATCTCTGGAGTAAGATACCAGTGTGTTACAATCTTGTATGATTGTAGTTTGGTCAAAATGATGGGGGAGGTTAGCAAACTGGACGACCAAATGTTGGACCATTGAGAGTCAGAGAGTTCAGTTGCACAGTCTTGTTGCCATCAAGTTTGATATCGTAGTGGTCTGACCAGCTTAAGTCCTGGTCAAGGGGACCACCTAGTGAGCCATAATGCCACTGTATCCTGATCCTGTGGTTAAGGTAAGGAGATGTGGGGTGGAGGATGGAGTGAAGGCTCCCAGCGATCCTGACTTCATTGTGTCTGTACTGATCCTAAGAGGCTGCACTTGGGAGAGGTCCATCCCTTAAGTTATTCCAAACGTAAAGTTAACAAGATCAATTATTTTTGTTCCATGCCAGCGCCAGAAATTACGTGAAATTATTCTGCAGCAGCAGCAACAAAAGAAGAATGCAGCACGTCAAGAGAAAACACCGCAGCTGCCTGTCACAGCACCTCATGCAGCTCCTGTTCAGCAATGGCAGCAGGAGAATCTGAGCCAGGTTTTCAGTCGGCCTCCTCCACCCTACCCTGGCAATGTTAGGTCATCTGTGGTCCCACCTGGTGGCTTAAGGTTCCCGGGGTTTGCTGTTGATGGACAATTCAATAGATCCCAGTTTCCAGGAGATCTGGGTGGCATGGGAGTGAGGCCTCATGGAATTAGGTATGCTCCTTGATCTTTCAGTCGTAAAATAAAGTCATCATGAGTTCTTAGAATCAAGATTCTTTTGGCATGTGCAGCAGGATTTTGTCAGTCAGAATTATTGCAGTAAATGTATTGACACTTATTAACGAAACATGACAATATTTTGATAATTTTGAAAGATATTTTAATGTCAATTATAGGGTCTATAAAAATAATTCAGAATTATCTCTGAGTGGAATTCAAAGAAACACTCAAGTCCCATTGTTTTTGATCAACTCATAATTCCTTAAAACTGAACCAATACTACTATAAAACGAAATTGGTTAAAACAAGTTTTTGTATGTGACCTCAAGCATAAATATGACACCATAGGACATGTATCATTTTATTATTCAAATTGTGAAGATTTTAGACCCTATCAACTGAACAGCATGAACGTCAACCTTCCCTATCACTGAATGATACTGTTCTGCCAGGTAACTACTAGTTTTTGCTTCTGAAAAGCTCTGAATACAAGTCTTCAAGCAAAAGGTCTTGCTTAGTATCCTTGCCATGTATCAGGGAGAGATCCAAGCAGAGAGCCTTAATTTCAGACTTGCTCTGAAAGTGGATAAATTTTACAAAACAAAAGACATGACCCTATCAACTGGATTATTTTGTAGGCAATGCTCCCTCTAAGCTGTGGAGTTTTGTGAGCAAAAATTCAACTTTGTGAGCTACTGGCATTAAAATTGTGAGTGAGCAATTTGGCTACTGCATACATTAGTTTGCTCTGGAGCCATCCTTCCTGAGCTAAGCCAAAATGTGTGAGCTGGAGGCTAAAAAACTGTAAGCTAGCTCACACTAACTCAGAGGGAACACTGGTTGTAGGGTAGTGTTAACAGTTGAATTTGACTGCAAAAAGTTTTTGTTACAACAGACAATTTGTATACAATTCAGGGAATATATGAATAAGAAATCAGCACTTTTCATGCATACCCTACTTTTCTTCCCAGTGGGGACCCAAAGTGGGTTAGAACATTTATCTTCTTCATCCTTGCAACAACTCTGTGAGGTAGGTTAGGCTGAGAGTGTGTGACTGACCCAAGATCACCCAGCAACCTTACATCTCAGAGTGGGGATTTGAACCTGGGTCTCCCAGATCTTTGTCCAGTACTCTAACCACTACATAATGCTGGGTCTAACTTTTTCTTATTTATATCAGTCCACTCTGTTTTGATCCTGATTTTGCACTCACCAAAATTTGAATACATGGTCTGATTTACAGATCAGATCCAAAGTCCATCCAGTCCAATATTCTGCTCCCAAAATAGGCAACAATAATTATGTTAAATACATTTCAATACACCATCCAAGTCAACCACAGGCCTCTCTTTGTTTTTTCCAGATTTGGTTTTTCTGGAGGTGGTCGTGGTCCTCCACAATGTCAAGAACGTTTCCTTGGTCCTCCACAACAGATGCAACGTTCTGGAGTCCCACCACAACTAAGAAGATCCATGTCTATCAGTATGCCTAGACTACCCAACAAACCACAGATGGGTAACCCTATTGGATTGTCTCAGCATTTCCCACCACAAGGTATTCAGGTTCAACAGCACAATATAATGGGTCAGGCATTTATTGAGCTGTGTCACAGAGCGCCTGAAGGCAGACCAAGGCTTCCTTTTAATTCCTCCTCAGCTACTGTTATAAGCACAGTTCCCCAACACCAACAACGTACAGGGTTTTTACCTCAGCAGGACTGCCAAGGCTCAAGACAATTGGAGCCAGCAAGGCATAACCCTCAAAGCTTAAACAACCCGTTGCATGTGTCAACAAGCTTGGAACATTTACCGCCATCTCAGCAAGGTCCAGTGAATCCCAATCCTGTGCTAGTAATGTGCCCTTTGAATAATCCACCAGTTAATGAGGCTTTTTCAGGAACTCCTTTGCCAGCATCGACATCAGCTGAGACACCAAGGGGTTTACAGATTCCAACCCAGCACGCTGGTGGATTAGAGGAAAAGCTTGATCCTGATGATCCTGCTGTGAAAGATTTAGATGTCAAAGACCTTGATGGTGTGGAGGTTAAGGATTTAGTTGATGAAGATCTTGAAAATCTCAATCTAGACCCAGAGGATGGGAAAGGAGATGAGCTGGACACATTAGATAATCTCGAAACGAATGATCGCCACCTTGATGACATCCTGAGGTCAGGAGAATTTGACATAATTGCTTACACAGATCCAGAACTTGATTTGGGTGACAAAAAGGGTATGTTTAATGAGGAACTGGATCTCAGTGTCCCTATAGATGATATCCAGGGCAAAGCAGACGATGCCCAGCAGAAGCCTCAAGATAATAAAGCTGCAGTTCCCTCAGACTTGCTTGCTCCTCAGAAAAAACCTGTTGAAGTCACGGAGATTAAAACAGAAGCGCTCTCTCCAAGTACATTAGAGGAAACTCAACCTGAAAATGAAAAAAGTGATGGGAATGCGGCATCCTCAAGCACTCCACTTACCACTGAAACAGAATTAGTAGATGGAGAGGAAAAGTCCATGGTCCTTTGTAATGTGGAGCTACCAGACAAAGCAAATACTAACGAGGAAATCACTGTGTCTAATCCAGGTGCTGTTCAGGGCTCTGCTCCACCACCTGCTCAAAGTATAACAAGCCCTTGCAATATTTCTGGATCAACTCCAGTTCTTACAAGTTTGCTAGCTAACGAGAGTTCAGAAAACTCTGATGTCAGGCCACTGAACTCCCCACCTCACTCTTTGCCAGCAGCACAAGCCAACCCCGTTTCAAGTATTCCACAGACTTTAATGACACCTGCTGGTCAGACCATGGAAAACGCATTACCTCCGAATGTGAACATGGTTCCACAGATAAGCCATAATTTTCCTCAAGGGACAGCAGTGAATCCAGGCTTCATCACTGGCCAGCCGGTTGCCCATAACTTGGAGACAGGGCATCCAGGTAATCAAACTGTGCCTGTTGTGAATCGTCCCGGTCCCAGTGGAATGCTTCCTTCCCAGCAGATGATGCTCCCTCAGGCATTAGGCCAGCAGCAAAACCGAGAGAGGCCTCTTCTGCTAGAGGAACAGCCTCTTCTGCTGCAGGATCTTTTGGATCAAGAAAGGCAAGAGCAGCAGCAGCAGCGGCAGATGCAGGCCATGATTCGCCAGCGTTCAGAGCCATTTTTCCCCAACATTGGTACGTTTTTCTTACAGTACTCCTTATAGTACTATAGTTACTTGTTGTCTGATATGCATAGAAACCAGCAGATGTCTGTCGGTACCCCTGATGGATCAAATGTAATATCTGTATCCTATTTGTATGGGGAAAGTGGGGAATGAAAATTGAGAAGACTGGGCAGGGCAGGAGAAGGGTCTCTGCTCCTTGCAGAAAATGTATGAAGGGTCACACTTTGCAGCTCTCCCCAATGGATGAATGAGCATTACTTTCTGAGCATAGACCTGTGGATGATAGATGTGGTTGACACACTCAGCAAGTCCCCAGCCCTTAAGCAAATAGTATTAACACAGACCGGGATGTCTACCGTTGCGGCTTCTGTCTTTGTTGCTGCTCCTGGGAAAGGGAGAAGAGAAGCGCTGTCAGTTAGTATAATGAGAAGGAGATGGGGCAGGTACTGCGTATTGGGTGTGGGTGTGCGGAAGAAGGCAGGAACAAGTCCACCTGTCTGCCCACTCGTTACCATCATGAATTTTTGTACATGTCCACTTGTACATCTTATTCCCATATTTACTGGATTATGCATAGACTCAATGTCTTAAGGTATTTATTGACATTATGCCTACTTTGTTCAAGGTTCAAGTGAACCTGCATGCTCCATAGATGTGCGGAAAATAAATCTTGGGTTAAATTTTAGCCTCACTGTGTTGTCAAAAGAAAGGGTCCCCCGCTTTAAGGAGGGAATAATTACTCCATTTCAAATTATTGAAAATTCTTCATTTATCTGACTGAAGCAAACCTGCAGACACGAATAACAAACAATCTCAAGGCAGTCTGGTATGAAAAAATGTATACAGATGTGTGCTAGATGCCCACAGAACAATGCAATAATAAAAGAGACTAGTTTATAGCCATAATAACTTTAGTGTATAGTAATGGAAAACACCACTTTTCCTTCATAGTGAAAATACAAAGGTCAGTGAAATAACATTGCACATAGCAGTCTGCTCCAGACTCTTTCAGTCAGTATCCTTCAAACAATCTTGTATTCACAAAAGCAGTCTGCTCAAAGTTCAGTCAACACTTATTCCAGATATTAAAGTGTTTCAGACCTCTGGTCTTTCCTCAGGAAAAAATCCTATATGGGAACTTCACATTCAATATTACCTTCAAGTTGATACATTCATTGATTTAGTTTTACTGTTAATCTACTTGGGCAAGGTCTCCTCACTTATTCTCAAGCATGCTGCTGCTGCCGCCAAAGTCAAATGGACCCAAACCATGACGGAAAAAGTGGTGTTTTTCATTACCGTACACTGAAGTTATTATGGCTTTAATCTAGTCTCTTTTATTATTGCATTGTTCTGTGGGCATCTAGCACACATCTGTGCACATTTTTTCTTACCAGACTGACTTCAGGACACAGGCTGAGTCGGCAGTTGAGACAGAAAATGAGATCAGCTCAGTTAAAATCCAGTAATAAGAGGCACTTCAGAGAAGCTCCCCAGCATAGGGATGGGGAGACTTGAAAACCTTGATGCAAATGGACATCAGAGAAGCACTTGACACATTCCATTATCAGGCCCCATCTCCCCAGATCTCTTTTTAAGCAGCAGCATGGTTAGTTCCCCTGGGAATGGGATATCACAGTGTTGGCACCGGCACAGTCCTCCCATTAAGGGGGAACTGGCACCTTAGAAATACTGCTCCCAGCAGAACTTTGCTTTGCTGTGATGCCAGTCAGCATCCCAGCATTGATCTGATAATTAGCCCTGTCTTGCCGTAATGTGAATCCCATTCTCATCTTGTTATGGGAGTTTCTTAGAGAACTGTTTAGTAACCACTTAAGCGGTCTGAAACATGGGAAGACTTGTGCCACAGTTTTTCTGTTGCAGTTGTGTAATACTTTTTAAAAGTTTTAGTTCTAAGTGGGTGAGTTGATTGGTGAAAATAGGGGGTTATATGCTGGCAGCTTTGTATAAGGAAAATATTTTTTCTCTTAAACTCGTTTTCATAGATTTTGATGCAATCACTGATCCTATAATGAAAGCGAAAATGGTGGCTCTTAAAGGGATTAATAAGGTCATGGCACAGAACAATATGGGAATGCCTCCAATGGTCATGAACAGGTAGGAAAAAAGCAAAAGTAATTGATACTAGGGGACAGGGAATAATAGAAACCAATAGAAATTGATTTTCCTGGGGTTGGAAGGGAGCTGTGGAAATCTTGGGTGACACTTTTAGATGAGTTAGAGGAGGAGGAGGAGGCAGCATTGACTTCCCTGGGCCCTTAAGAACTTCTCCACACTAAGGAAGAGTCAGGGTTATGGGGGTGGAGAGAAAGTGTGACTAGCAGGGGCTTTTAGGTTCGAAAGCTTTCCGGATTTGGAAAGCAGGGCAGAGATCAGAGAAATATCAGTTTCAGGAGTCAAATTAATTGTTACAGTATGGTGTTGCCAGCGGTCCATGAGTTAGGCAAGACGAATGGATCAAAATACTTGGCATAATCGCTACCAGTGCCTGGCTGGGTCTGTTCCTCTCTGGGTTTTTCTGAAGTAGGGTTGCCAGCCCCCAGGTGGGAGCAGGGGATCCCCCAATTTGCGGGCTCCTGCCTGCAGCCGGCCCGCTGGCCAGAAGGGGAAGCCCCACCCCCAAGAGCCACGACCCACTGCAACATTCCTGACATGATGACGTCCCCAACACAATGATGACGTCACACAGAAGTGACGTCATTAACACCAAGGATGTCGCGTGGTGACACTCTGGTATTTTGAGAGGTCCCTTTCACTCCTCCCTAGGGAATAGGGTTGCCAGGTCCCTCCGAGTCCCCATCCCTGCCCCCAAGCCTGACCACTGACAGCCACCCTCTCCCTCCCCTTCTGCAAGATTTAAAGGGCTGATCAGAGGCCCTTTAAATCTTGCAGGAGGGAGGGAGATGGGCATGTGCCACCCCCTGCTTCTTCTCAAAAGCCAAATTTGTGGCTAGGAGTGCATGTGTGTGGCCCCTCTCCCGCTTCTTCCCCAAAGCATTTAAAGGGATCCTTTAAATGCTTTGGGGAAGAAGCGGGAGGGGGGCCGTGCGCACCTGTAATCGGAGCGCAGGCACCAGTCCCCAACATGATGATGTCACTTCTGCATGATGTCATCATGGGGCTGTTCCCCCCCCAGCACACACCCCAACCCCCCCCTGCTGGGGACTCGGAGGGACCTGGCAACTCTATTTCCTAGGGTGAAGCGAAAGGGACCACTCAAACAGCTGCAAGCCTTCAGCAAACAGGGACAATAAATATCTTTTCTGATCACTGAGAAGGCTTGCAGCAAGTTTAGGTTAACAGCCTAAAGTGGCTGCAAGCCTTTTCAGCAATCAGTTTCACTCCCCCCCCCCCCCATTAGAGAGGAGTGAAGCTGGCCTTGAAATTGCTGCATTGGGGCGACACTTCAGTTTTTGGGGCCACTTTTGGTTTTACCAGAAGTTATCTAAAAACATCATTTTGGGGTAGGACCCCCCCCCCCCCGGTCAGCCAGCTGGCCGGTGATGGGGAAGCCCACTCTAAATTGAGGGATACCCCAGCTGGACTGGGGGACTGGGATCCCTACAGGCCAAGGACTAGAGATCAATGTCAACAAAATGGAGGCTGAAAGGTCATGATAACATCCTGTCATGCTCTCTTAAGATTGCTGGGTGGGATATGCCCAAAATCAACTTTTTAAAGAAGAAATGAAAAAGAAAAAAAAAAGAGTCTCATAATGGTGGAAGCTTCAGACAATGGCAGGGAATGATGAGGAACGCTAGGAGACATCCAGCTTGTTTTGCTTATTTTATATCTGAAATGCAAGTTGTAAAATAGATCAAAATCTTGGTTTTGTATTACATATTAGTAGATTTGCCTTTATGGGTCAATCGGTTCCAGGAACACCGAGTGGGGAAGGCCAGAATCTAGTACAGCAAGCAATTACACAGGTAACGTAATCTGTCTAAATTTTTCAGTAAAATGGCTTTTCTTTTCTTTTTTTCTTTTTTTGGTCAAAAGAATTTTTATTTTCCATTCTTATCACATTTTACATCTTTTTATCAATTGGTTGAATATTCCCTTTTCCCTCCCTCCCCCGAAAGGCTTCCCGCAATGCATTTCCCTCATGTCCCATATAGATAAACTTAGGATAACATCAAGTACTTAATATTGTTCTAAACATAGTAAATTTTGTCTCACGTCCCAGTTCTTTTCTAAATATATCTTAAAGTCCTTCCATTCTTCAAAAAATTCTTGGTCCTCTTTGTTGTTCAACGTTTTGGCGTAAAATGGCTTTTCTTAAATGGAATCATAATCTGTGAGTCAGTGCGGATTAATGGATGGAATGATGCGTGAACCTGGGTCCAATTAGTTTAGTTTAGTTTTATTATTATAGTCTTAAATCAACATACAGAGTACGCATAATACGTAAGGGAAAGGAAAAAAACCCAGTCATAATATACAAAAATAGAAGTCTGTGGATCCAATTAATTCATGTACTCATTGGGTAAACGGGAGAAAAATACTGGCCTCAATTCCTAGAGACCACTGTTGCCTATGATATCAGTGGTCGTCTGTTTTGAGATGGGGTGAAGCAGCAGCTTCTAAAGGGTGGCCCTTGAGCTCTGCAACCCTAATTCAATCTCAGCAGGGGCATCTCATATGGGAAACGGTGTAACCAAACATAGAAAACAGTTACTTTTTTGCAAGCTGCCACTTGCTTCATCAGGGCAGCTGTAAAATGGAATTATGTTACCACATTCTAGCATTGTTTGTTTCTTTCTTCTAAGGATGGAAACCTAACACCTCAGATTTCTAGACCAAACCCTCCAAATTTTGGTCCTGGTTTTGTAAGTAAGTATATCTCTTGTTAAATTTATTTTGTGTGATCCTGGCTTGATACTCAGAAAACATCTCCTTTATTTTTCAAAGTACATGTAACTTTTATTTATTTATGTCTGTCTGAAGACCACTACTGGCATTTGCTTTTAAATTAGAACATTCAAATGAAATAATGAAGACATTCTGAACCAATTCATAATAAATGTTTGAAACATGGTACACCACAGGAAAAAAATGCCAGAGAAAACATATAGAATTTAAAAAAATAATTATGTGGACTCATTGTAGTACAGTTTATATTGTTTAGAAAGAGTCAAATTTGTTTAGTCTTAAATTTGGATTTTTTGAAGATATTAAACAAAAGTTTACCTATATGGTTTAAAATTTTACAGATGTGATATGACAGAAATTAAGGAAGAAGGTTATCGTATGAGAATGTTCAAATAGCACTGAAAAGATATTTTATTTTTGTTCAAAAAATTTTGTATATGGTTGTTTTGCACTTGTGCTGTGAAACAGATCAACTCAAGAACTATATAACTGGAGATAAAAACTGAGTAAAACAATGCAGTATCTGAGAGTATATTCTAAATCTTTTCATTATTTAACAACAAAAATTCTTAAATTAATGAATGAGTTATATTCATTAACTCAAGTTGTAGCATCCTACATGCTATAATAACGAGTTATATAACAATGAATAATTTGTTTTTCTGCTAAAATATCAAAAAGTAATCATAGATTTTATTTTGGGGAATTGTCCAGTTGGGGCAAAAATTTGGAGCAAGATTTTGCAAAATTATTGAGAAAATATGTTCGTATTCGTAACTATATTGAAATCCATTATTTTTCCTTTTACCTTGCATTAATGAAGTATGGTGATTATCAGGAATTATATACAGAACTACCTATACATTTTTTACATGGAATTATAACAAGAAAAATGGTAAAAGTGAAATAACTTTGTTCAGAACTAGGCCCATTTTATTAGTGGAGCTTTCACTTCCATATCTTAATTATTCAGTTTATCGTACCTACAGTAAAACAAAAAAATGCTAATGCTATAGGAGTCCTTTGAAATGGAGACTCTGTTTTCTGAAAATTAGGCTACAAAGAGAGGTTTGAAATGGAGACTCTGTTTTCTGAAAATTAGGCTACAAAGAGAGGTTTGAAATCTTTAAAAATGTGTTTATATAAGATCTTTGTTACAGGAGTGTTGCATATCTGAAAAATAAAAACATTTTTTTAACAATTTGAATAGTTAAAAATATTGTTTGATTTCTGTCCCCTCCCCCCAGACGATTCACATAGAAAGCAATATGAAGAATGGCTGCAAGAGACACAGCAGCTACTTCAAATGCAGCAGAAATTCCTTGAAGACCAAATCGGAGCACACAGAAAATCAAAAAAAGCGCTCTCTGCGAAACAGCGTACTGCGAAAAAAGCAGGCCGAGAATTCCCGGAAGAAGATGCAGAGCAGCTTAAGCATGTTACGGAGCAGCAGAGTATGGTTCAAAAGGAGCTGGAACAGGTAAGGGGAAGAGGGCTGTGGGCTTGGCAGAATGCTATTGTTACTAATTAGACTGTATTACAACAGCAGTGATTTAAAAAAATGACAGGAGAGGTGGTGAATGTAGCAAAATACATAGGTGTAAGATTCAGGCTATGGTGTGAAGACTTTAGACATCTTTAAATTTATTTTATACTATGAAAACCACAAAGATTTATGCATATCATAGACAGTAACATTCTCCAGCTTTTCAGCTAGACAAAAGGTTAAAGAAGGCTTCAGTATTTTGGTTAATTTCCCCCCCATATGTCTGCAAACTGAAGAATAGAAAGCAATGCCCCTATGAATATCCCTTAATGACAATTTTACGTTGTAGATACGAAAGCAACAAAAGGAGCATGCAGAACTCATCGAAGAGTACCGAATAAAGCAGCAACAGTGTGGCATAGGCCCTCATGCCATGATGCCCGGCATGCCTTCTCAGCCCCCAATGGTCCCAGGAGGATCACCACCAGCAATGGGTCAGCAAAGCTTCCCGATGGTACCACAACAGCTTCAGCATCAGCAGCATACAGCTGGTGTTCCTGGGCAACCCAACCAACCTCGGATGCCAAGTTTGCCTGGGTGGCAGCCTCCCAACACTGCCCCAACACACATCTCCCACAATGCACCAAGGCTGCAGCCTCCACTAGCACAGTTGCCGTTGAATCCCGTGACACCCACTTCTGTGTCAGCTCCTGGTGCAAGCGTGCAGTCAGGGCCACCGCCACGTGTCGAGTTCGATGACAATAACCCGTTCAGCGAAAGCTTCCAGGAGCGGGAACGAAAGGAACGTTTGAGAGAACAGCAAGAAAGGCAACGGATTCAGCTTATGCAGGAGGTGGATCGGCAGAGAGCTTTGCAGCAGAGAATGGAAATGGAGCAACATGGCACAGTGGGCTCAGAATTAAATGCTAGGCCTTCCTTGTCCCAAGTACCATTCTTCAATTCTGACCTGCCATGTGATTTCATACAGCCTCCACGGCCCCTTCAGCAGTCTCCACAGCAACAGCAACAAATGGGACCCATTTTGCAGCAAGGACCGTTGAACAGTGCATCTGCGCCCAACTTTCTACTGTGTAGTGAGCAACAACCTGTGGGATCTTCCCCTTTTGGACCTGATCGACCCCCTGTTCCAGATGGAAGTCCCACTTTCCATTCTGTTAAACAATCCCATGGAAGTGTCTCTGGGGCCGGTTTTAGTCAGTACCCAGTTAGGCCTCAGTTTGCCCCTGGCTTGCCTGCAGCTTCTCCTGTAGCTGTCCCTGGTTCCCCCTGTAGTCAGGACAGCGGCATGACCCACGGAACCAACTGCCCTGGAGTAAGTCAGTCTCTCATTCAGCTGTATTCTGATATCATTCCGGAGGAGAAAGGCAAAAAGAAAAGAACAAGAAAAAAGAAAAAAGAGGATGATGCTGAATCAGTAAATACCCCGTCAACACCACACTCAGATATAACAGCACCCCCAACACCAATTGTTTCAGATTCTGTCTCCACCCCAACAGTTAGCACGCCTGGTGAACTTTCACACCATCCAGGGGAGGCGGAGGCGGAAGAACTGCCAGGCTCATCAACTCTGAATGCTGCGGAGAGTCAGTCTTCCTTAGAACTGAAAGGTCAGCTCTCCGATAGTGATTTGCCACAAAACAAATTGCCTGAGCAATCAAGCGTAAAGCCAGAGACAGACAAGGTCAAGACAGATGCTTCTGGGAGCATTCAGGAAATTAGACAGGAAAAGACAGAAGCTGATCAATGCCCTAGTCAAGCTGAGCCTAAGTTGGAGAATCAAAGTGGCATTAAAGTGGAAGAGGATAAAGCTTCTGCGCTGCCTGCCCCTTTCTCAGAGGGTCAGGCACAACCTACCAGCATCCCTGCAGCAAAAGGGGAATCGGGGAACGAACTCCTCAAACACTTGCTTAAGAACAAAAAATCTGCCTCTCTTCTCAATCAGAAATCAAAAAGCGGCTTCCCGTCAGAAGAGAGCACTGAGGAGAGCAAATTTGTGGCAAAACAGGACCCAGCCGAAAGCAGCATGGTAAGCACATTTTTATTGTCATCCAGACTCTCAAGAATGTTGAGCATTATTATACAACATAAATACAAATGTATTGTGTTGATTCTTTATTAAAAGGCCAGTGCCTAACCCCCCCCCCCCATTTCTAAAGCTGAGGGCATTGGTTGGACACAACTCCCTTCATTGTGCTTTAGATGGGGCAACAAGGGCTTTTACTTCCTCCAAGGATCACCGCATAAAACCGGAAATAATGAACCTGAGCACATGAACCCTTTTGCCAACTCCTGTAGGGTTTGAATACATAAATCCAGCAGCTGATCCTCTCTGGCTGGAGCAGCATTTCATTTCCTTCTCCTAGCCAATCTAATTAGGTTTTATCACAGTTTCAAATTCTGCTCTTCCTGTACAACATACGTGGTGGCTAAAATTAGATGTAAAAGATCTGGGGGGTGGGGGGGAAGAGTGAATATGTATGTATAAACAGGCTAAATCCAGACTAAATTTTCCATTAGTGGAATGGAACTTTCTTGCCTCCCCTCCCTTCTGTAGCCCACTTATCTCCACCAAAAGCTACCCAAGGGGAAAGGGGTACCTTAAGGGAGGTCCGCAGTGGGAAAGGGTAATCAGTGGCAATTGCCTATTAAATCTGGATCCAAACCTTTGTATTGATTTTGCCACTTTGCTATCCTACACTGTTGTTTAGGCTAATGGAAGCTCAAGGAGAATTGTTTCGTTAGATGAGATTATAGTCTCTGTAATCCAGAGTTCTGTGGTCAACAGCAGCCATCAAGATGGCCTATTGAATTGTACAGCAAAACAATGCAGTGCTGTGTACCAGGAATCTGATATACTGCCACTGAGTATGGAGGTTCTGTTCGGTTATCATGGCTTACTGCTATTAGTTGTACACCAGATAAATTTGTGAAACTGCAAATCTACATTTGCTGTTTCTTTTTAACTTTATGTGAATTTAGCATTGTGTGGCTTTTTATAACTTAGTAATCTTTTACCTGAATAGCAGTGGCAGAGATCAATAGCTACTTTAGGTGCCTGGAGGACTGCAGCACTGAACATCGGATATACAGCAAATCTTAGCCAAATAATATGCTAATGTGTTACTATTCATAAACTTTAAACATGGCATCCCTTTGGAAATCTACTATTGTGGATTAACTGCCAGGTTTTCTATTCTCAGAGGGAGAATGCTATTTTTATTTCTTTGTACCAGCAATCTTTGGTGCAACTTGAAACCTGTTTTGCGCTTAGCATCCCCAAACCAGTTAGGTACATCCTGTGTTCAGTTGTAAGATACAACGAGCTGCTGACTTGGTGTGTTTCCATTATTCCCTGAAACATCTTTTTCTGACTCCCACACACTTACACTTTTTTGGTGGGGAGGAATCGAACATCTAATCTGATGAAAAGTACTGAATAACTCAAAAGTTTGCTTATTTTTTGAGATACTTTGGTTGGTCCTAACAAAAGGTGGGCGTGGTTATTGTAACTTGTTAGTTGCTTAATATGCTTGAATACTGGATCTTGCTATTGTATTCACAGTGCTAGAATGCATCTATTGGTAGTGTTAGTTGTATGTAAATAAACCACTATATTTACTGAAGGGAAGATGACCCCCTTAAAATTTGTATACATATTTTAAAAGTATTATTGGATGTTACTATCTTGTATGCAAATGGAAGATGTCCTCCTCTTTTTTTATGTTATACCTGGGGAAATACCTAGTCTTGCATTTGAGTAAATGCTGTATATCATATGGTTTTATGTGATTTTCATATTATGGTGTAAAATGCAGTAATTTTCAATGGCTAGAATTGGGAAATACCTGGAGATTTTGTGGATGGAGCCTGAGGAGGGTGGGGTTTGGGAAGGGGAGGTATTTCAATGGGGTATAATGCCATAGAGTCCACCTTCCAAAAGGCCATTTTCTCCAGGGTGATCTGTCGCCTGGAGATCAGTTGTAATCCCAGACCTCCAGTTACCACCTGGAGGCTGGCAGCCCTATTAGTGACTGATTCTTAGGAACCCAACTAGTTTTACATTAATTAAAATCATAGATCAGGGAGCTAATTTGTTTCACTGGAAGACAGCCCTCAAATAATGAAGCTGCTGATTCTTTTAGCTGTATGTTTTGTCTCTATTATGGCCCCTCAAATATTCTAAAAACAAATGGAATAGCTACCTAAGAAATACTTGGAAAAAATCGTATAGGAATAGTGGTGTTTCTCTAGCATGGGTATTCTGATATATTTGTAATGATTGGCTTCTCTAGACCCTCTGTCTATTAGTCTTTAACAACACTTTTTTTTTGTTTTTGATGTTATGATCTGTAGAGAGATGCATTAAAATGCAGTTGAGAACTTATTTTGTTGCATGGGAAAACTAGAAAATTTGTGTTTTGCCATTGATCCTTATTGGCCCAATAAAGTCACAAAGCTCAGGAGATGATGAGATTTATACAACCTAAAACTAATCATTAAAAGTCTGTCAGAGTATAGTTGTTTTTACCTGATACGTCAAACCTAGACACCAGAGGAGTCAGGCATGCAAAGGAGGGATGGAGTTCTGCGGCCGGTTCTTGTCTCTTGTGCCCCTTCAGTAAATGGCGCTGCTCTCAACGGGGGCCTCTGATTTGATCTTAATGTCTGGGCAGGCTTATAAGTAGAAGGCGGTCCCTAAGGAGCCTCAGTCCCAGAAAACAGCTCTTTGAATTCTGCTTGGAAACAAATCACCAGTGCAACTTTTTAATGAATGGTGAAATAGGTTCTTGAGTAGAAGTACCAGACAGTAATCTCGCTGTTGCACTCTGTACTAGTTAAGAGTTTCCAGATAGTTTTCAAAGACCCCTTGTAGGTAATTGAATCCGGACGTGATCAAAGTATGGGATAACTGGCCAAATCTTTCTTATCCAAGAAGTGGGATACAGCTGGCAAAGAAACCTGAGTAGCTGTAAAGGCACAACATGGCACACATGAGACCTGAATATTTCTCTGCAGCACCAGTTGTAATAAATGTTTCACGTGGTTGTCTTCTCGGTTCATTGGGCTCTTCAGTTGTGCCTGAACAATCCTGTAATAAAGGGTGCATCACTCTTTGCTGAAACAAATCTGAAAAGGTCTGACTTAACTGACATTTTCTGAAAATAATGACTTCTGTAATGGTTTAACATACTGAGTCATGGGCCCCCCAAATAATCCACATTAGAAAGTCTTTATCCATTTTTTCCCCCTTCTGTGCTCTTTCACTGGCTTGGAGAAGAAGGATATCACCAGAGGGGAAGATTTGTTTGAGAAGTCTGTGCCCATTCACTGGGTGGGGGGGGCACTCCCCCATGCGTTCTTTTAAGGACTGTGACAGCAGCATCCAGTAAACCAGTCTCTTCTCCCCAACCCAGATCTACTTGTAAGCTGCCACTTCACACTGAGAAAGGGCTGAAGGCAGTCACCTCCTAAAAGGTGCAGAAAAGGTATAGACCAGGGGTGTCAAACATGCATCCTGGGGGCCGGATCAGGCCCCTGGAGGGTTTCTATCAGGCCTGCATTGGAACTTGCTGTCTTCTGCTTCTTCTTCTAGTGCTGCTGCTGCTGCGTCATCCTAGGTTTGCAGCTTAAAGAGACACACCTAAACAGCATACTCAAGATTGCAGTAGCACAGGCAATAATTCAGAGCAAGAAGTGTCAGTTATCAGACACTGTTAAATAAACAAAATATTGCAAGAGTGCTAATGTTTTAACCATCTTTTTATTTTAAGTTAAAAAAACCCCTTTGTGTTTGTGTCCTTTATAAAGCTTATATCTCTGCTACCTGGCATTACATTTCATGACACACGTGGCCTGGCCCAACAAGGTCTCATTTATGTCAGATCCGGCCCTCATAGCAAATGAGTTCGACACCCCTGGTATAGATAGGGATGAGAAGGCTGTAGAGTGGGATGAGGGAAGCATGCAGTCTAGAGAAACAGGAAGGAGGAGGCACTGAGGGGCATCGTAGAGAGATCTGACTTGGCCTTGCAAAGAAGAAAGGGGCAGTGTCAGGGCAGGAGGGAAAGGGACAGATGAGGGAGCAGGTAAAGGCAAGGGGGGTTGGAAGAAGCCTGGGAGAAATTGAGAAAGATGAACAGAGACAGCAGTATGGGACATTGGAGTTGGCTCTTTATGGTCAGGTTGTTTCTTCCCACTTGGAATGTAGATGGGCATATAAATACTATATCATTACAGTGACTACTGCAGTATGAAAAGAGAACAAAGCAGGTTTGTTGTAGTTACATGTGAGTGCTTTGGTAAGAATGCTGTGTTCCAAAAAGGTTTATAAAAACATAAAGCAAAATGTTAAATTCATATAGCTTACACCTTTTATCTTCCTTTCCCCATAAGCAATCACTAGGAAATCCATTGCAGGGCCCACCTGGATGCGGTAACAGCCAGCTTCAAAGAGCAGATGTAGGGCATGAAATGAAAAAGCAGCGAAACAAACGAACTCAGAGGGCAGGTGAGAAGACAGCGCCTCGATCTAAGAAGAGGAAAAAAGAGGAAGAAGAAAAACAGGCTATTTACCCTAATGCTGACACATTTATGCAGTTAAAACAGGTGAGCAATGAGGCGGGAAAGGATCACCTCATTAGAGATAAGCATGAAAAACAGAGTAAGAAGTCCATCTCCGTCTTGGTCTCTTGATGGGCTGGATCCCATGGATCCGTTCCCACGGTGGAGGAGACTCTTCTGCCAGTGGAAGGCATCACTCCCGTCCCATTGGATAGTACAAGATGTTGACATCTCCTCCAATGTTTTGTGTTTTCAGTACCTTTGCTTTTTAAAGGGAAATTGAAAAATATGTGTACAGCACTCTCTAACTTGGGCCATTTCCACAGGGGTTATCTGCCCTGGGTTCGATCTTTTGGGAAGCTGTCTTCCCCACCCCCTGCTCCTCCACATCATTGTGGTACATTCATGCTCCTCACAGGATTCCCCCCTCCTGTCTTTCTCAAACCTACTTTACTTTAGCGTTTTGGGAAAGATCTCAGTAAAGCCTGGACAGCTGCTATATGCCAAACATTTCCCCCAATCCTGTCCATGCAGCATCCATTTCTGCCCCCTGCCACCAGAGGACTTTTTGTTTGTTTTTTCAAAAAAAATCAGCAATTGAATACTTTTATTTATTTATTTTGTTAGATTTGTATCCCACCCTTTCCACATAGCAGGCTCATGTTATATTGGTATACTGTTATAACAATATATCTCTGGCCCTTTCCATTGCTGAGATATAAAGGGAAAGGCATATCTCCATGATGGAAGGGCTTGAGACTGGCTTTTTAAAACTTGCTGTTGAACATACTGTTATAATGGTACATTGATATAACATACTGCAGATTTTTTTACAAACCTAAAAATGCCCCAGGGGTTAGGTGGGGGTGGCCACTGCTGGGGGACTGGAGGCTGTGGGGAAACCTGCCCTGCGGAAGCTGCACTGTATTGGCAGCTGCACCAGCAACAGGGCAGCCACACAAGCCTGTACTCATGCTGAAACCGCTTTGCTTGCAATCCACCACTTGTGTAATGGTGCTGAAATAGTTACCTTGGTGCTTCTTGCAATGAAAAGTCTACATTGTAGTTCTTGATTGCCTATAATGTCTTCATGTGCATTTCAGTATTCTTACTGTATTACAGAATGACCAGAAACTCCCAAAGCATACAAAATTATGACGGAGTGTTTGGGCAGACACCTTTACTACCTCTAAATGGATCAGCACGGCCTTGATGCCATCAATTTATTTATTTATTTAATTAGATTTTTAGCCCTCCCTCCCAGCAAGGCCGGCTCAGGGTGGCTTACACAGCAATATAAAACAATACAATATAATAATACAATATAAAATTCAATTAAACACAGATTTAAAACCATAGCCATGCAGCTTATTAAAGTGCTAGCATTTTATTTTATTTATTTGTTTGTTTGTTCAAATTTATAGCCCGCCCTCCCCGCAACGGGCTCAGGGCGGCTCACAGATAGGGCAACATGTGCCAACAGTTAAAACACAAATAGGGCAAAATATGCCAATAGTTAATCAATAAAACAAGATAAAACCGACATTTAAAACAGCATAAAGTGTTCCAGATGTTTCGAAAGATCTTCAATCACAAGATGGTATCCTGGGGATGGTAGTCCGAATTCCATGGCATCCCGGGAATGTTAGACTCAATTCAGTGGTATGGTTCCACGTGATATTACAAATGTCTTGTCACAGGGCCATCACAAACCCCAATGTTATCTAATCAATTGGTGGTGGTGGTGCAACAACGATGGTGTAGCGATGGTAATACAGTAGTGATGGTACGGTGGTGGAGTAGTGTGATGGTGGTGGTGGCTCCTACTCAAAAGCCTGGTGGAAGAGCTCCGTCTTACAGGCCCTGCGGAACTGCGCAAGGTCCCGCAGGCCCCAGATCTCCTCCGGGAGCTCACTCCACCAGGTAGGAGCCGCCACCGAAAAAACCCTGGCCCTGGTTACAGCAAACCTGGCCTCTTTGGGGCCTGGCATTGCTAGGAGGTGTTGAGACCCTGACCGTAGTGCCCTTGGGGGAACATATGGGGAGAGGCAGTCCCTTAGGTATGTCGGACCCTGGGCATATAGGGCTTTAAAGGTAAGAACCAGCACTTTGAAGCGAATCCGGTACGCTATTGGCAGCCAGTGCAGTGCTTTCAACGCAGGCCGGATGTGCTCCCGCCTAGCGAGGCCCATCAGCAGCCTAGCTGCAGCATTCTGCACTAGCTGCAGCTTCCGGATTTGCGACAAAGGCAGCCCCATGTAGAGAGCGTTACAGTAGTCTAGCCTCGAGGTGACTGTCGCATTGATCACTGTGGCCAGGTCATCGCGGTCAAGGAAGGGGACCAACTGCCGAGCCAGCTGAAGATGGTGGAAGGCTGATTTGGCAGTGGCCGCCACCTGGACCTCCATAGTTAAGGTGGAGTCTAGGAGCACTCCCAAACTCCTAACCACCGGCGCTGACACCAGAGGAGCCCCATCGAAGGTCAGGAGAGGGAGCCCCAACCCCGACCCGACTCAGACCCAGGACCTCCGTCTTCGCTGGATTTAGTTTCAGCCGACTAAGTCTGAGCCAACCAGCTACATCCTGCAACGCCTGGTGAAGATCTTCTGGGTTAGAGCCAGACCGGCTGCCCAGCATCAGATAGAGCTGGGTGTCATCTGCGTATTGATGACACCCAAGCCCATACCTCAGGGCAATCTGGGCAAGGGGGGCGCATATAGATGTTGAACAACATCAGGGACAATACTGCCCCCTGAGCAGGGCCGGCTCTCTCACTAGGCCAGCTAGTGTCTGGCCTAGGGCGCAGCTCCGTTCAGGGCACCAACTGCCCTGCCGCCTTCCTCCAAAGGCCCCCACCATCCCTGCCCAAAGCCGCTGTCTGCTAGTCTAGCTCGCTGCCGCGGCACGCATACTGCTTGCCATGCGCCCGTCCTGCCTGCCCCAACTCACGCACAGTGCGCCCATTGGTCCGCTGGCTGCTGCGCCTGCGCCCATCGCCGATTCGCCCCCGCCACCCTCAGCCAGCCAGCATGATTCCCACAGTCGCACTCGCTGACACTGGCAGCTGCCCCAGCCAGGCACTAGCCAGCCCAGCCCGCAGGGAAGGTAAGTTCATGAGCTGGCCCTGGGGGGTGGGTGGCGGGGGTGGCGAGGGCAGCGGCAGCAGTGGGGATGGTCGAGGGGCGAGGGCAGCAGCAGCGGGGGGGAAGGCGGCGGCACCCCGAAGGCTTCCATCATGCTGCCTGCAGCCTGCTGGCGAAGCGAAAGTGCCATCGCCGTCGAGGCGGGGGGCGGCTGGCCTCAGGGAGGGTCTGCACCGGGGGGGGAAGCAGCCTGGCACACAGACTCCCTCGTCCTTCCCGCAGCACCTGAGCAGACTCGGATGGCCTGCGCTGCCTGGCTGTGGGGGGCGCTGGCGCCCCCCGTGCGCTGGGGTAGGTGGCCTGGCCGGGGGGGAAGGGAGGCCCAGGCTGTGACCTGCTGGAGCTGCCCCACTGCAGCCTCCTTAGGAGGGCCCGGGTGGAAAGGAGGGGGCCCTTGGAGGAGAGCTCGAGGGAAGGGCCCAGCCGGGAGGGGGAGCGCTTGCCATTTCCAAACCAGAGGCGCGCTCCCGGTCTAAAGTGACGCGTGCAGCCAGTGTGTCACGTGGTGTCACTCTGTCCCCCCACCCAGGCGGCCAGCTGGGAGGTCTTCAGGCCCCACCAGGAGGTTGGCATCTGGGGGGCGCCACGAGACAGCCTCGCCTAGGGCGCACAAACTCCTCGGGCCAGCCCTGCCCCTGAGGCACCCCCCATTCAAGAGGATGTATCCGGGACTGCTGGTCCCCTATCGCCACCCTTTGTCCCTGACCTTGGAGAAAAGAGACAAGCCATTGAAGGGCAAGCCCCTGGATCCCCATGTCAGCGAGGTGGCGAGCCAGCAGTTGGTGGTCGACCGTATCGAACGCGGCCGACAGATCTAACAACAGCAGTGCCGCCACGCCACCTCGATCCAGATGCCTTCGAAAGGTTGTCAACAAGAGCGACCAGCACTGACTCAGTCCCATAACCCGGGCGGAAACCGGACTGGAAAGGATCTAGGACAGAAGCATCATCCAGAAAGCCCTGCAGCTGTAACGCCACCGCCCTTTCAATAAGTTTGCCCAAATAGGACAAATTGGACACTGGCCAATAGTTGACAATAACTATCGTTTGATTCCTCAGCATTCAGTCAGCTTCTTAGTCTCCATCAAATGTCCCAGGTACTCGGGTCAGGCTATACTTGGGGGACCCCGGGGTCGGGCCCGCTCTCCATAAATTGTCAGGTGGCAGTGGTGGCGGCAGCTCCAAAGGTCTGGCAGAAGAGCTCCTCTTATATGTCTCTCTAACAGATCCATTCTACCACATTTCCAAAGGAACAGGATTACTTATGGAGTGGGACTAAACAAAGAAGCAAGCAAACAAAAAAGCCCTGCTGGGTCCCATTCCAAGAGGTTTTCCAGCAGTTATCTGAAACTGGGTGGTTCAGATCAGCAGATCCCAGATAAATTAACTCAACAGAAGAGAGTTAGGTGGGGTTTCAGTCTTTGTTGGGAGTGCCAAGAGAACAAAGCAGCCCTGGTACACGGGGCACAGGGGAAAAAGGAAGGTTGGCAGGGGCAGGCAGGACAGAGAGAGCTAAGGGGAAGTCTATTGCGAATAAATTTGATAAGCAAAAATGCAGTGAGATTAGACAGTGGAAAAAAAGAAATGGCCACACCGTTATTGCCGCAGTAGCTAGGGGAGCAACTGCAAATTCCAAATCATGAAACCCAATCAAGTTTTGATATTTCGATATTGATAGTTAAGTTCTAATAAGAAAGCCATTTTTGTTCCCTGTTGATATACCATTTATCATTAAGAGAGTTTTATGTAACAAAGGTGGTGCTTGACAGTTGGAGAGACATGGTCCTTGATTGGGAATTCAGATGCATTGGTAGAGGCTGAAGCGGGTAGAGTACAGGCTGACATTAGCCTGTGCCTGAAGTGTTTTAACAAGGGCTTGAAATGAAGTACTGACAGGACTCCTTGAGTGCTCTTCTATAAGTGGGGAAAACTTGGTTTCTAACGCTAACCCTCATCTTAGTGTAATTGAGTGGAAATTCACAGCTCGTTTGTGATGATTTTTTTTTCATAACTGCTCATCTTTTCCTATAGCAACTCTCTTTGCTGCCTCTGATGGAGCCAATAATTGGCGTGAGTTTTGCCCACTTCCTGCCGTATGGCAGTGGCCACCTGAATAGTGGAAGTCGCCTTATGGGAAGCTTTGGTAGCGCTACGCTTGATGGGGTATCAGATTACTATTCTCAGCTAATTTACAAGGTACGTTTTTTCCTGTATTAGGTTCTGCAAAATTTCTATAAGAAGCACAGCAACAGGCTTAACCTGGTGATTGACAAGGCCCTGGTGTATCTAAAAAGATTATTTTGTTGCCCTGTTGCCATCAGTCTTTGTGCTTATTAAAAAACAGAAATAATCGGAGCATATTATTTATTTATTTACTTGAATTATGCCCACCTTTCTCCCCACTGAGGGCCCAAAGTGACTGTCACCATTCTCCTCTCCTCCACTGTATGCTAACATTAACCCTGCGAGGTAGGTTATGACTGGCCAAAGGTCACCCAGTGAGCTTTCATGGTGGAGTGAGGATTCAGACCTGGGTCTCCCAGACTGTAGTCTGACACTCTTAACACCACCCTGGCTCTTACAGCCATTATTCACAGGGTTATGAACATTTTACTGCATTTTCAAACCAAAGCAAAGTTGTGATCATAGCCTTCATAGAAAAAGAAAATGGTAACTGGGAACGAACCAAGATAATTCCAGGCAGAAAAGGATTACTTTTTTCAGGCTGGCGTTTGGCAGCATATCCTTGGCTGATTGTTGTTTTTTTAAGTTCCTGTTAAAAGATCTAGCAGGCCTGAGTTTGAATTCCTTCAGTATAAAATTGTGCCACAACTGTTACGACTGTGTTATGCCACTTCAGCGCTTTACAGTAATTGAAGCACAGGCCAGCAAATAAATTATTCCAGAATCAGGAATGGCAGGTAAAGTTCTTATGCTCCCCACCTACAGTAGTTTTCTGCCAGTCCTACTGCACACAAGGGCTGTTCAACCACATATCCCCTTTGCCTCTAGGGTGGGAAAATGGATGGCCACATTTGACCAAGAGGTCACTGATTACTGCCGTTAAACACTGTCTTTTGTGTTCATGAGTAAATTCTCAGGCATGAAAGTCATAATGTAAAGTTGTCACTGCTTGGGGAAAGAGGCCTGTGTTCATTTTTTATTTTCCCCACCCCACCCCTGCCCTGCTGTGGTCTCTTTCCAAACAGAATTTTATAGCTCCTGCAGCAGTACCGGGAGAAAGCCAAATGAGCAGCCCAAAGTGTGACCAGCACTGGCACAAGAAAAGCTGCCTGTGACATCACTGGGGCTGAGTGACGTTCCCCATCCCAGTGCCTGGAACAGAACCATGGCAGTGGTGAGGGAGAAATGGCTCCCTTCACTGTCACCAAAATGCTCACCTGTCCCTTGACATAAACACACTTTGCTCAGCATAGAACACACCGAAAAGTTATTTTGTTTTTGTATTTAATGAAAGGTCTCCTTTCAGTGGAAATGTTGACTGATCAAGGATTTACCATTTTTGCTTCTCGGTCCAAAATCAAGCGTTGTTTCTTTTTTGAGTTGGTCTGCAATGTTTTAGTATTGTTGTTGTTGTTCAGACGCACAGTCGAGTCCGACTCTTTGCGACCCCATGGACCACATCACGCCAGGCCTTCCTGTCTTCTGCTGTCCTCTGAAGTTTGCTCAATTTCATGTTCGTTGCATCTATGACACTGTCCAACCATCTCATCCTTTGCCATCCCCGTCTTCTTTGACCTTCAATCTTTCCCAGCATCAGGGTCTTCTCCAGTGAGTGCTCCCTTCTCATTGGGTGGCCAAAGTATTTGAGCTTCAGCTTCATTATCTGGCCTTCCAGGGAACAGTCAGGGTTGATGTCTTTTAGGATTGACTGATTTGATCTTCTTGCAGTCCAAGGGACTCTCAAGAGTCTTCTCCAGCATCATAGTTCAAAAGAATCTATTCTTCAGCGCTCGGCCTTCCTTATAGTCCAACTCTCGCAGCCATACATGACTACTGGGAATACCATTGCTTTGACCATGTGGACTTTTGTTGGCAGGGTGATGTCTCTGCTTTTTATCATGCTGTTTAGGTTTGCCATCACTTTCCTCCCAAGGAGCAGGCATCTTTTAATCTCATGGCTGCTGTCACAGTCTGCGGTGATCTGGGATCCCAGGAACGTGAAGTCTGTCACTACTTCCACGACTTCCCCTTCTATTTGCCAAGGAGTGATGGGGCCGGATACCATGATCCTAGTTTTTTTAATATTGAGCTTCAAGCCCACTTTTGCGCTCTCCTCTTTCACTCTGAGCAAGAGGCTCTTTAGGTCCTCTTCCCTTTCTGCCATTAGAGTGGTATCGTCTGCATATCTGAGGTTGTTGATCTTTTCCCCAGCAATCTTAATTCCCGCTTGTGATTCATCCAGGCCAGCATTTCGCATGCATATATATTAAATAAGCAAGGTGACAATATACATCCTTGTCGTACTCCTTTTCCTATGCTAAACCAATCAGTTGTTCCATATCCTGTTCTAACTGTTGCTTCTTGACCCTTATACAGGTTTCTCAAGAGACATGTGAGGTGGTCTGGTACTCCCATCTCTTTAAGGACCTGCCATAGTTTGTTGTGATCCACACAGTCAAAGGCTTTAGCATAGTCAATGAAGCAGAAGTAGATGTTTTTCTGTTACTCTCTTGCTTTCTCCATAATCCAGGGAATGTTGGCAATCTGATCTCTAGTTCCTCTACCTCTTCGAAACCCAGCTTGTACTTCTGGCACTTCTCTATCCACGTACTGTTGAAGCCTAGCTTGTAGGATCTTGAGCATGACCTTGCTAGCGTGTGATATGAGTGCAATTGTGCGATAGTTTGAACATTCCTTGACATTGCCCTTCTTTTGGATTGGAATGTATACTGACCTTTTCTAGTCCTATGGCCACTGTTGTGTTTTCCAAATTTGCCGGCAAATTGAGTGCAGCACTTTAACAGCATCATCTTCTAAGACTTTGAATAGCTCAGCTGGAATACCATCACCTCCACTAGCTTTGTTGTTAGTAATGCTTTCTAAGGCCCATTTAACTTCACATTCCAGGATGTCTGGTATTACAGGTATTCTATCAGGTCGGTTCGTATTTTGTAATTGTTCTTGTAAGTAGATTACTTTTCCCGTTATTTCAAATATGCTAGCTAAAAACTTGATGTCCCTCCCTCCTCTGCAGCAGAACAACCTGAGCAATCCTCCCACCCCTCCAGCCTCACTCCCGCCCACACCTCCACCTGTGGCTTGCCAAAAAATGGTCAATGGATTTGCAACCACTGAGGAACTTGCTAGCAAGGCTGGGATGCTAGGGGGACATGACGGTAAGTCGCTGTATATGCCGAGAATGTCCACAGTGAAATCTGGGGTTTCTTTGCTGTACATTTGTAACTCGCTTCACATCAGAATGCTTTGAAATTCTGATTACCTTCTCCACAAAATTTATGGGAGAAATGTTGAGAGTTACGCAAAAACTGATGTTCAGCACAGTATGAAGTAACATAGAGAACTGTGGCCTGGATGTGGGGATTGCGGGTACTGATATGTATTTGCAGATTTTGGACGTTATTGCAGAGATCCTTGAACACAAGGGCTGTACAGTTTTTAGTCTTATGTATTGGGGGGGGGGTGATTTGAGTTAGGATGAAGGCAGCAGCTTGGAAGTCGCTTTTTTACCAACACTCAGCCCATCTTTTCAATTCAATTCAATTTCAGTTTTATTATATGACGGTCCGCAACCAGATCCAGTTAACAAAATCAAACATTATTCAGGTATTCAAATATACAAGTTAAAAACTCCAGATAAAATACAGAAATAGAAGATTTTACAATAAGTAAAGTCCATCTTTGAAAATAAATGAAAACCCCAGCAAAGGGCCTCCATTTGGTATGTTCTGCATCCCAACACTTTCTGATGAACATGTATGAAAATTCCATTGCTGTCATCTCTAGGGGGCACTATTTTGTTTGTTTTTTCTTATTTTCAGTAAATAACTGTGGTGGATTCTCAGGGGTTTGGGTTGTGAGCTGAATTTAACCAAAAGAAACATGAGTGAAGTTAGGGTCAGGTTTTTTCCATATATGTCATCAAGTGTCAGTGTTATGTGCCATCAGGTCACTTCCAACTTAATGGCGATACTATGAATGAACGACCTCCATAAGATCCTATCCTTAATATCCTCGCTCAGGTCCTGCAAACTGAGGGCCTTTGTGGCTTCCTCGACTGAGTCAGTCCCTCTCATGCTGGGCCTTCCTCTTCTCCTGCTGCTTTCCACTTTTCCTAGCATGATTGTCTTTTCCAGCAACTCTTATCTTCTCATAATGTGACCAAAGTATGATAACCTCAGCTTGGCCATTTTAGCTTCTAGGGAGAGTCCAGGCTTTAGGTTATTGACGTGGCTTGTTCTTGCCGTGTTTCAGTTACCAAGGCTCTAGGACCCAAGCAGTTTCAGCTGCCCTTCAGACCTCAGGATGATTTGTTAGCCAGAGCCATGGCTCAAGGTCCTAAAAGTGTGGACGTTCCTGCTTCCCTTCCAACCCCGCCTCATAATAATCATGAAGAACTAAGGTACGTGTCTTCTTTGAACACCTTAGCTGGGCATTGGGTGCCTGGTAGGCTAGTTAGCCCCTTGGTGCTGCCGAACGTTGGGAAGGTTGCTCCCAGCTGTATATGGCCAGTTGTTGTTCCTTCTTGTGCACACCCCAAGCAAATGGTTTGGGCTTGGAGACAACCCTCTAATTCACACCTAGGTAGATCAGGCCAGAAACTGGTCAGGTCGGAAACTTCAGGGTTGTTCATAAAAAGTGGACTCAGCAAGTGACCAGAAGGAACGTACAGATAGCTTGCTGATATCTCAAGTTGCAAATTCTTCTACTGTTGCTCACTGGTAATGTTTTCACTGTTCAAATTTTTATTTGTCCTCTTACCTGGTTAGACCTTGGCCTCATGTCCTCAAATCTAGATGAAACACTCTGTGAGAACCTACTTGTCCCCCACTAGAACAGGGGTGTGGCCTGTTCCTCGTAGCTAGGTCAAGCAGCTGGGCTCTCTCTGGATACAAAGTCTTGGATTTTGAAAACCTGCTTTACTGTGTGAGATTGGGGCATATAAATCAGAGTTGGGCCTCTTTGGATGGCACCGTTTCCACATACAAAATTACACGTTTGGAGTTGTAATTGTTTTGTATGTATTAATGGTATCTTGTAGTACCTTACAAGAATTAATAGCATTCTGGTCAAACAGCTGAATTGCAAAGGCAAAAGAGTGAATTTCTGATGGGAGAGACCAACATGATATACTTGTTAACATCATTGTTTGTTTCTCTTTAAGAAAATGACTCCTGGAATTGCAGTTTGCATCATATTGCTGTCAAATCCAGTTCTCCATCTCCTCATTATTCTTCAGAACTGTGCAACATTTCTCGTTTTCTTTACCTCCCAGGGTTCAAGATCCTTGTGGTGACAGAGACACGCCTGACAGTTTTGTTCCATCTTCATCGCCTGAGAGTGTCATGGGTATGGAAATAAGTAGGTATCCTGACCTGTCAGCTGTCAAGGAAGAGATCCCAGAACCTGTTCCATCTCCTATCATTCCAATCCTACCCACCAGTACTGGAAAGGGTAATGCCCATTTATATTCTAAATGCATGTGCTAATTTTATGTCCTTGTATCATCATTTCCATTAACTATATGTGTTTTTTTCTTTTTCACTAAGGATCAGAAGCAAAAAGGAATTTTATTAAAACAGAACCTGGCTCCGGGTTTTTTGGCTTTCAGCTTGGACCTTCCCCAAATGGTCCAAAATCTGGCCTTGTGTCTGTAGCAATTACTTTACATCCCACAGCTGCAGAGGTAAGGAGATGAAGTTCCAGGAAATCACATTGGGAATCACTTTGATGGGCGACCACATACCTTTGCCTAAACTAGATCAAGATGGGCAGCTGTGTTAGTCTGTCTGTAGGAGCAGAAAAGAGCAAAATTCCAGTAGCACCTTTAAGACTAACAAAATGTGTGGCAGGAGATGTGCTTTCGTGAGTCACTGTTCACTTCTTCAGATACCACAATGCCTAATATGTAGATAAATCTGGACAAACGCAACCCGATCAGTAAACAAGTATAGAAACAACAGTCATGAGAGTCTGACCCACAAATCAGTCATTAAGACTTATAAAGAATGCTATCTATGTATTACAATCTGAAGCACTACAACATGATAACAAAATCATAAGAAAATCCTTGAACCAAGGTACATAATCAACGTCGTCTCCGGATTATATAACAACGTTTCAAAAAATGGATCTTCTTCAGGAGATATTATAATGGTGCGTCTCTCTGTTCTAATAAGTCTAGAAGTAGACCCAATATAGATTTTTTCACACACACATTTTAATAAATACACGACCCAACTTGTATTACACGAACTGTAATATTTTAGTTGCATTCTAAACCCAGGTAAGATTACTTCATCTGTTTGCCAAACTTGTTTGCAGCAACTACAGTGAAAACATTTGAAATGTCCTGTTATTTGTATGTTTTGAATGGTTCCCTTTAATTGCACTCTGGTAGCAATCACCAGAGAGAGACGCCCGGGATCCATTAGAAACATAGCATATTTTGAGCCTGAATGTTAACTGAGATCAGCATCCTATCTGAATTTAGTATTTCTTAAGACTTGTTGTCTAGCACTTATGAAACAGAGAGCTTTTGCACCATTATAATCTCTCCTGAAGAAGATCCATTTTTTGAAACGTTGTTATATAATCCGGAGACAACGTTGATTATGTAACTTGGTACAAGGATTTTCTTATGATTTGTTTATCATGTTGTAGTGCTTCAGATTGTAATACATAGACAGCATTCTTTATGTCTTAATGACTGTTTGATTTGTGGGTCAGACTCTCACGACTGCTGTCTTTATACTTGTTTACTAATATGTAGATAAATCATCTACAGCCTTAAATTGAGGCTTAGAGCAAGTCACGTCTAACCCGTGATGATGTTTTGTGCAGTCTGCAGCGATCTGTGGATGTAATATGTACCTATTCATCTTAGTTTTGGAAACAAGAGCAATAAGAGCATTATATACTCTGATTTCAGTGCAATTTCATTTAGTCATAATGAATTTTACCGATTAAAATTTTCAAGGTGAAAGACTAGGGGAATGAGGCAGGGGGGGAAGTTCCACAAAAATATATCCTTGTTCACCTTTTGCAGTAGCTTCTTCCCAGGATCTTCAGCTTGGGTGCTAGTTTTTACAATCAAGATTCTTTCAGAGGTGATCTTTACCAAGAATCATATAAGGCAGCATGATGATGCTACATCCCACAGCCACTCAGCCGTGGCTCCCTCTGAATGGGCAACCATTTCTGTCCCTCTTTGCAAAACTGATGGCTATATTTCATGGAGAGACGCAAGATTTCCGAAAATGCACACCCCCAATTCCCGCTCTCTCTTTGGCTCTGTCCTGTTTTTCCTTTAACATTTAAGCTGACGCTGTGTGTGCATTTTTTTTCCTCCTCTCTAGAATATTGGCAACATAGTAGCTGCATTTTCCAGCCTCCTGCATGTCAGAATTCCAAACAGTTATGAAGTCAGTAGTGCCCCAGATGTTCCTTCTTCAGTGGGAATGATGAACACTCCCAGAGCAAATCCAGCCTTCGAGTACAGACAGCAGCTCTTGCTTCATGGTCCCCAGCCAGGCACTGTCGGCTCTCTTGGATTCATGGGGCCTTATGGACTCAAACAACCTAACATGCCATTTCCACCAAGTGGTAATGGTAAGTCGGCTTGTGCTACTGAGAGGTTGTTGATAATTACTTTTTTAAATGTACATTTGGAAACTTGAGCACACTTTGAGGGTAGAGAACAAACTGGCCATCCTTCACTTCTGTAATTCAAAGTGTGTTCTTATGGAGGTGATTAGGCAAAATGGGGGTTACACAGTTTCCAGTGAGAGGCATTCTCTATCATTCTGGTGCATTCAATCCCAAACTGTAAGTGGGTAGCATTAAAGAAGCATATGGGGTTGAGGATAGAAAGGCCAATGAAGGTTCAAATGTCTTTATTAAAATTGCACTTTGTAACTAACTCTGTTCTCAATGTCTTAAAGGTTTGGCAGGTTATAAGGCTCACAGTTCCAGTATGACGGATAGTTCCGTGCTGAGGCCACAGTGGTGTTCCCATTGCAAAGTGGTGGTTCTGGGCAGTGGTGTGCGGAAGTCTTTCAAAGAGCCACCTTTCCTGAAGCAGGTACTACTGCAGAAATCATGGTTAAGGGTTAAGATTGTGCGTGTGTATGTACACATGCGCCCATGAAAATTGCTTAAATTTGTTAATCTTTGATGTGGTCTCTGTGCTTCACACCCATGGGATCTAGTGCGCACACGCTGGATCGATCAGCATTGTAGCAAGCTCTTTAACGGATTTTCACGCCCAGACCTCAGGCATGCGCAGGAACCCCACCGCGCATGCCCAGAGGGGAGGGCGCAGACATCCTGCCAGTTCCTTTCTTACTGCCGCGTTGGAAAGACCTCTTTCTCGTCGGTCTGATTGGTTCGCTTTTTTGGCTTATCTGCCTCATGGCTCTTCGGATTTTTCCTCACTTTATTCTCTTTTCTTTAGTACTTCTTTGTTTGTTCTTTCAAAAACTAAAAAACCCCAACAACTTTATTTTCAGCTGAGGGGAAAGTTGCCGGTTTAGCTCAGTGTGGCCTTCGGGCTACCCCCCCTCACCCCTTCTTTCTTCTCCGCTGTTTATTTTTATGGAGAAGAAGTGGGGCTTTTTTAACTGGTGCAAGGGTTGCGGCAGTAAACTTGCTCCACCTGACCGTCATACCCTCTGTATTTTTTGTCTGGGAGAGTCTCATCGACCTGAGTCCTGTCACCACTGTGCTCGCTTTTCGAACCAGACAAGAAAAAATCGAGATGCGCGCCTTGAAGTGGCGCTCCTTGAGTCAGTGTTACATCCTCTCACAATGATGGAGTTCTGAGACGCCTTCAACATCGACGACTCCGGGAGGCTTCCTTATGGTACGGCGCGACGACAGGCGGGCGTTCGGTCAACTCTGAACCGCCCGATCCATTCTCGTTTCTTTTCGAGCCTCCCAGACTTGGGAGAGCCCGACATGCACTCCAGCAGAGAGAGCAGGAGCAAGGGGCTTCTTGCTGGCCCCTCCCATAACCTGGCAAAGCAGGGGGGTGACCAGAATTGCCCCGATGCGGGAGTGAGAAATCGGAAGAACATGGCCGCCATGTTTGGTAGACGCTGCCATCCGGTACTTTTAAACTTTTTTTTCCTGTTGGAGTGATACATCACATTGAAGAGTTTATTTTCTGCATATGTTGGATGAGAGGACTACCCCTTATGGATATTTCCCTGTTGGATGGAAAAATCGGCCGTGGAAAGGTGTTTGGGATTTTAAAATGACATGACAAACTAGGAGGGGGTAAGAGATAATTCTCTGCGAAAAGTACCATTACCCTTTAAGAATCATAATTCTTTGAAATTTACTTGAACCTGACGGATGGAAGTGTGAGGAGATGGATGGAGATAATAAAGCTGGGGTGCTCACATGGGAACAATTTCAGGAAGTCTTGGCAGAAGAAGTAAAGCAAGCTTTCAAACTAGCCTGTGAGAATGTTTTGAGAAAACCCCAGAAGGAAGTGTTGGAGGTGAAGGATGATAAAGAAATAACAAAAGCGGGGTGAGGCACAAGAACTAGAGCAGGAGAAAGAACTGCAGAAATTAACTGCAGAAATTCTTGTATTCTTGGACTCTTAGTTTCAGAGTTGATCTTTCCTTTTTCCATGTAGCATTTATCACTCTTTTGGGGATTTTAGAGTTCTTTCCTCCATCTCCTTGTTTTTAGTCACCTTCTTTCTCTTTCTCCTTTGTACAACAATCTTTAAGGAATGTCCTTTTTTTACTTGTGTTTTTTTTTTTGCTTCAATCTTATTTGGTCATTCCACTGATGTTTTCTATGTACCTCTGATTCATGAGTTACATTCTGCGTGATCCCTTGTCTCTTATCCCGTAGCTCCCTCTCCTGGCTATAATCTTGCAATTCAGCCGTAGCTTGCAAATGCAGACTAGATTCTCTGTTTTCACCAATGTCTACAAATTCATTCCTAGATTCTTTAAATAAGGACTTACAGGCTGTTTCAACAACTTCTTTAATCGTAGTTGACAAGAATCTCTTGAATTGTTCAAAGGTTAGGTCTTCCACCAGGGCTCTTTTTGTAGAAAAAGCCCAGCAGGAACTTATTAGCATAATAGGCCACACCCAACAGCAGAAACTCATTAGCATATTAGGCCACACCCCTGACAGCACAGCTCATTAGCACATTAGGCCGCACCAAGTGTGGTTATCCAGCCACAGCCACCTTTTGCTTGTTATTCTGTTTACCTTGTTTGTTGTCAAAACCCAGGGCTTTTTTGTAGCAGGAACTCCTTTGCATGTTAGGCCACACACCCCTACTGTAGCCAATCCTAATGAGTTTCTGCTGTTGGGTATG